CTCAGAGTCCATAATCTCTAATTCCCCAGATTTCACAAATCACCATTTTCAAATGAGTAGTGTATGAGTCCCTAAGTGGTTTTTCTTAGAAATTCACATTTTTCCAAAAAATTTGACAGAGTTTCCCCTGTAATACGGACTTCCCAAAATTTTCCAATCACATGTTACAAGCAGAAAACTTCCAATACAGTTCAAAAAGGGTTCACAACCCATCATCCAATTCTTTCAATTTAATTTTCAATGAATTTTCTCATGAAAAACCACCATGCATATAAATGCTCACTCAAAGACAATACATATCATAATAGAGTACCAAACATGTATTTTACATCATCATACATGTAAGCAATTCATTATCACTTTCACAACCAAGCATATAATGAAATCACAATTATCAATCATGACAAATTTAGACAAATTCAACAAATAAGGTCAAACAAGTTTATGATGTAATCCTTACTATATAGCTCACCTCTTACTTGATACGTTTACACTTATTCCTTTCAAAGCTTGATGTTGTGTTTCAGCAAAATCTATATACGTAATAAAATGCTAGTTAGAATCTTATATTTCTATAATTCTATCTCATGAGAATTTAAATTCACTTTGTATTGTTAATCTATTTCTAATAATATTTTAAGCTCACATTCAGCTTACAATTAACTTAGAAAATTATCCTATTTTGTAGGCACTTAGAGTAGAAAGAATCCTAATAACAACCATGGACAAGGTTCAGTATTTCGAAATTTTCTAGAGTTATATAAGCTGTTTTGGCATGAGATTTGAGCAAAAATTTCAATAACTTAATTACCTACAATATTGATGAAGGAAATAAATTCAAATACCCTATAGAATAGATGCAGTTTTCAGTTTTCAGTAGTTGTTTCTAATTAGGCTCAACTACAATAACACTCTGAACATTCCTTGGTAATTGGATTATAACTCTTGCTACACATAAGATATTAACATGAAATAAATTTCTAAATTTCTGGGATATAATTTCCTACAACTTTTATGAAGGAATCAAGTCATAATTTCACACGTATCAATCTCAGTAATTCAAAAACCTAGGCTGTTGAAACAGGGCTACCTCTTAACGTCACAGCTAGACACTTGATAGTAAAATGGGCATAACTTAAGCTATAAATATCCGTTTAATGTGAAACCAGTTTCTAAATTTCGAAAACTTAAAGAGCTACAACTTTCATGAAGATACCAATTCCTAATTCTATTCACACAAGTCCCAAAAATGCAATGAATAGTACCTACGAATTAGGACTCTTAAAGTTTTTAGCTTAACCACTTCTAATCCTCAATTTTAAACATTATTCTAGTATCCTAAGTGTAAAACCTACAATAACATTCTTCCTACTCCCATTCAAGCTCATTCAAGTGAGGATAAAAATAGAAAATGCACCATTTTGAAAAATAAAACGGTAGAAATGTAGAGGAGATTGAGATAAACCAACTTACCTCTTGGAGCTTCTCAAAAAAATCAAGATTTTCCCGTCCAAATCAACCTTAAAGATAAGAAAAGTTTTGAGAGAAAGAGAGAAATGAGGAACTACGGTTGCAGAATGACACTTTTTTTTTTAAGTCAAACATTTGAGTCTTATTTCACCTAATAATCCGTTCAGCGCATTTCTGATGCGCCCAGCGGATTACAGGCTGCAAGTAATAAAATTTCAAACATAATCCGCTCAGCGCATTTCTGATGCGCCCAGCGGATTACAGGCTGCAAGTAATAAAATTTCAAACATAATCCGCTCAGCGCATTTCTGATGCGCCCAATGGATTACATTACAAAAAAAAATTTATCTTTATTTTCTCCTTTTTACTCTAGCCAAGATTTGAACCCACAACCCCTAAGACTCAAACATCACTTCAAACCATATCAACCATCATATGTATCTTGTCAACTTATACACATAATACACCTTTATTGTACTCACATTCAATGCATACAAGAAAACAAAAATGTCTAAATGTGACAATTAAAATTGTTAAGTCCATACTCTTTAAATTTCAACCCTAAATCATATAATTACTATCAGGTTCCCAGTTACCCGCGAAACGGATCAAATTTAAGTATTTTCTAAAAATTCCAGAAAAATTCTAAAAAATCACAAATAATCTAATAACATAAAACTCTACATTTACTTTACCCAATTCCTAATAATTTAATTATTAAAATTTTGACAAAGATTTTGTCAAAATTTAACAAACCATAGATATTGAGAATCAGGATGTTACAGTTAGCCTCTTTAGTAATGAAGACCATTTTTCCTCATCAAGAGGATACGTGGGTATCTAATTGTACCCAGAGTATGCATCTAAAAAATTTAGTACTAATAACAAAAAATATTATCTATTAGCCGGTTAATACTTGACAACAAATAAGAATCTTTTGAACACACTTTATTTATATCAATGTAATCAACATACATGTGTTATTTTTCACTATATATTTTTTTTTTTTGCAATGACTACGTTTTGTCAACCAAGTGGTATAAGTTACCTCACAAATGATGATACACCCTCCCTCTACTGGGAATTTCATGGCTAAATGTTGAGTGGACATAATGGCCCCGAGTTGGTTAAGTGTCTTCCTTCCTCTAGAGATATTATAAGATGTATCTACTTCTATCAATATATATATATATATATATATATATATATATATATATATATACATATATATATATATATATCTTACTAAAATACTCTTTTCTTCTTCTCCAACTCTGAAAGTTGTCAACAAATCAACAAATCCATGAGTATAAACTCTCTCACTAGCAAAACCAACTCAAGAATCTAGATATGGTTGGATAAAATCGTGAGATGTCCATCCTAAGAAAGGTGGACTAATATAAAATATCGGTCAAGCTTCCTTGGTCAATTAATGTTTTCCAAACTTCTTCATTGGCTATGTAAACTTTGATTACCATGGGATCGTTCTGTTTAGGATCATGGGACTTGAAGTCGTTGTTAGTGAAAGTAATTGGGAGCATCATTCTTGGTTAAAATGATTGACTGATATTGACATTGTTGATTGATCTTAGGTGTCGTTTTTGGGTCAAGTTCGTGTTGCCCCCTCCGGCAAATCCTCCAACTATTATGTTTATCATTCTCCTTACATCTTTTGCTGAGACATTCTGAGTATGAGTGCTCGGCTAGGAGTCTGACCTAGGAGGACCTCGTCCTCTCCTATGACCTGTGAAGCGTGGTCATTCTTGCCCTTTGAAACTCTGAGAGCCTTTCGATCTATAACCTTTATCCTTGTAATTTTGGATGAATTTGTCAAGTATACCAACTCAGACGAGGTCGTCAATTATGTCTCTCAATTTCTAGCAATTTTCAGTTGTATGCCCAAAGTTTTGATGTCATACACATTGTCTTGACCGATTTGCATATGGTGGTGAAGCCGAAAGTTCTAGTAATTTTACTTCAGATTGCATGTCTCTTATAAGATTGTCTCTATGCTGGAATTTGGGGGAGTAAACCTCCTTTCTTCTATTTCTCGTATAAACTTCTTTTCAGGTTATATATGTTTGTAGGGCATTCCTTTTCTTGTAATTCTCTCCTTTTTATTATCTTGATATTATCCTCCAGCTCTATGAATTTGGAAACCCAAGTTCTAAGCCCATCAAGGAGTGAATTCCCAGAATTGGAAACAGGTATGAACGAAAAGACTAACCTGATTAAAAAGCTCTATGAAACTTCTCAAGGATTCAATTTTTTCTTGTCTCAACCCTTTGAGGGTGAGGGAAGTTGGTCGATGAGGTATTATAGCTACAAAGTTTGGCTTAAGACTCATGTGTCAGTATTTTGAAAGATTTTATAGATTTATGAGGTAAATCATAAAATCTTTGGAGTGTTACTTCTTTCAAAGTCATTGAGAAAATTTTGCAAAAGAAAGTGTCACTTTCACCAAATACACTGACCCAAGTCAGGTAAGATTAGACATGTTCATCTCGATCAATACCTCCACCAAAATTTACAATAGAATGTGTCTTCCATACTTATGGTAGTGGTTTCTCTAAAATTTCAACAATAAAAGGACTTTCAAGCTTGGGTGTGGACTGATACCATGATGGTAACTAGTTTCTAGCTAGAAGAGACATAATAATACCATAGAGGAGATCTTGCCAATAAATGCAACTTTTCTTCTATCTCGCTCTTTTTCACGAATGCTTGTATTTCAACCTCGATTTTGACAATCTCTTCTTCATTGCATTTCTTTGACATGTAGTTTCAAGTTGTTGACAATTTCTTCATGATTCATGGTGGTGGTGAGTGTGGAACTTGTTGTTTTGGACTCCCACAAATGGTGCCAAATGTTCTTACCGAAAATGGAGCGACAATATTACAATCAAGTAGTAAAACTTTCATTATGCTGCCAAAATTTAATCGGGATTTATGTAGTTGAACTATGAAACCTTAGAATCAAGGTGATCAAGTTGTGAAACATTAGAATCAATGTGACTGAGATGTGATGAATGATGTAACGATGAGAGAGAGGACCTACACAAGATATTTGGATGTTTAAGTTAATATATGAATGATATATGTCTCTAGAAAATGCTATCACATTTTTCAATTTAGAGAAATAATATCAATATTTTAAAAAACTAACAAGCTTCTACGTAATTATCAATTATTATATTTAATATATAACCTATCCATTAATTAAATTTATTGAGGTAATATAATATGAAATGTGGCTTCTCAACTCTCGGAAAACAATCAGGCATAGACAAGAAAATATTAGAGTTTGATATAATAATTTAAATTTTAGTTATTTCAAAAAAATAATCTAGCATGTTAAATATAAAAGTTTGAAAGAGGCGCAATTTAAAGCAAGGGTTCGGATATTTTAGGGTGAGAGTGAGTGGAATTTATTAATTTATCATGTGCTATGGTTGTGAAGAGCGAAGAAGAAAAGGATGAGAAAAGAAGAAGAGAATAATAATATAGGAGTGGAAAGGAAGAAGAGGAGGATGGGGACATCGGAGGTTGGATTAGAAGCAGGAGTGGAAGAAGAAGAGAGAGATGATTTTGTGGATGGCGCGGTTGACTACAGAGGTGGAAGCGCCATCAGATCCAAATCTGGCTCCTGGAGATCTGCTTCCTTAATCATAGGTAAGGTAGGTAATGAATCAAGTTGGATTAAGTTGAACGAAGGAGGAGTGTAATGTGTATGCATGAAAATGTAATCATCAGGCGTTGAAGTGGCGGAGAGAATTGCATATTACGGGATCCTGGGGAACCTAATATCCTATCTCACAGGGCCTCTCCACCAGACCACGGCCACCGCGGCGGAGAACGTGAATATCTGGTCAGGAACTTCTTTCTTGCTTCCTCTGCTTGGGGCTTTCCTTGCCGATTCTTTTCTCGGCCGCTACCGCACTATCATTCTCGCTTCCTTCATCTACATCTTGGTCAGTCACTCACTCTTCTTCATGTTTTTAACCTCCATCAACAACTCCCTACAATTTATTATTATCATATTTCTTCAAAACATATTTCACTTTTCTCTCTTAATCTCTGCTCTTTTTTCATTTAAATTTTATTTTTATTTTATAGATAAACCTTTTAATTTTCGTATAGTTTACTTGTTAGCAAACAGTGATATTTCTAGCATAATTATGATACGTGACAAACCAAAACAATTCTTTTTATACATATAATTTTTAAAAAGCAGCTTTGTTTTTTTTTTATTACAATTTTTTCATAATATGTTATTACTTTGTCAGAAATTTATAAGAACGGTAAATGTTCAAAAGTTAATAATAGAATGTATGAAACACATGTTCAAAATATTATTTTTCAATCTCCGGCACGTCACAACTTTTGGTATTTCATAACAATTGATGTACCAAATTTTATTCGGTCCAACACATCACAATAATTGTAAAACATACTATTTTATACAAGTACAGGTTGGGCTGGTAGAGGGTATATTCCACTATTCATGCATCCATTATTACTACCCTCGCATTTCTCTCATTTTAGGAGGGTTCAAATACCTCAAACTCCACTACGTCTGTAAGGTTAAATAATATTTGTTGTCTTATTATTATTATTATTATTTTTTTGTAAATATTGTAGTGTTAGTTTTATAATTATTAAAAATGAGTTTAACTTTTGTTTAATGCGGTTAATAATTAAATTTGGAGATTTGTTTTTTATTTTTATTGAGTATTTTTTTAAAACTCATAACTAAGATAAGTTATTAGTTGTATTATTAGATTAAGAAAATTAAATGATAAAAATAAGAGGAAGGGAATCCTTTTTATAATAATTTAAAATGAAAGAAAGTTTTGTAAATATGAGGTGCGTCATTGGTCTGTAATGAGGTAGTAATTTTTAGTTTTGGTGTAGAGTACCAAACATAACTGAACTTCAACTTAAAATCTGGTGCAAACAATCTAAACATTTCACTATTCAACCGGGTTGCATAGTTGAAAAATAAATATTTAAGTTATATAAAGTTAAACCTAGACAGATTGTAATGTCAAATAGTGTTGTAAAAAAGAAAATTTGTCAAATACTGATGATTTGAATATTCCTAAATGTGTTTTTAATATTTTTCTTATTTCATTTTTTTTTTCCTTGAAAGTGAAACATGGGTCTGCAAAACGAAAATATTGCAACCCCTCTTCATAGACCCATCTCATAAATAGATATTAAGAAACGTCGATTAAATTCAGTAGCGTTTATAGTAAGATGTGCAATAGAATGTTATTACCAGGGAACTGTTTGGACTTGGGTCGTTTCTATTCCACTACTACGTTTGAACAGGAACTTCAATTTTAGACATTTCTTAATTAAAGGAGCCAAAGCATTGAAATTTATTTCGCTCATGGACAACTTAGAAACAGAAAAACTTTTGCATTCATTTGTGCATAATTTATTTTAAATAATAGATTATAGTTTGATATGATGATTTGATTCGACTCATTTTCATTCTGTTTTTCTGAGCGAACTTGAGTAGCTGGGGAATGGAAAATTAAGTAAAAGATTATTTAATTTTACACAATTAGAGTTTAAGTGAACGAAAAAGAAAAAACTAAAAAAAAAAAAAAAAAGAGAGAGGGGATTTTCACTGTGAAACATGTCTTCTTCCACTGTTTTGATGCCAATCCATGGCTTAATATGAATTACAGGGTCTAGGATTGTTAACACTATCAGCTATGCTTCCTTCTCTCTCCAATTCTGAGTGCCAAGTCGACAATCAATTCAAATCATGCTCTCCTCCTCGATTGCAAGTAGTTTTGTTTTTCGTCTCTCTTTATTTGGTCGCCGTTGGGCAAGGTGGACATAAGCCCTGTGTTCAGGCTTTTGGAGCAGATCAATTCGATGAACAACATCCAAAGGAGCACAGAGATAGAAGCTCATTCTTTAATTGGTGGTATTTTTTCGATGTTTGCAGGTTGCATGGCAACTCTTTGGATCTTAAACTACATACAAGACAACCTTAGTTGGGTTCTTGGATTTGGAATTCCTTGTGTTGCCATGATTATTGCATTGGTTGTTTTCTTGCTAGGAACAATGACCTACAGGTTTAACATTCAGCAGCAAGAAAAAAGCCCCTTTCTCAGAATTGGCCGCGTATTTGTTGCTGCTATAAGAAATCGAAGAACCACCCATTCAAACACAGCTGTCAAAGCAGAACGTGATGGACTACTTCCTCATAAAAGTTCTGAACAATTCGAGTAAGAATCGCAACACTAATTTCTGCTTGTTTTGGAGTGTGATGTGTTCTTTTCTTTTTTTTTCTCATTCCTAGTCCCGTTTGAGTTTTGCTTTTACGCTTTGTGCAAGTTCCTTTATAGTGTTTTGCACATTGACAGGTTCCTTAACAAAGCGTTGCTAGTGCCAAAGGACGAGGATTTCATAGAAGAGGAGAGTTGTAGCCCAAGTGAGGTAGAAGAAGCTAAAGCAGTACTGAGGCTGGTTCCCATTTGGGCTACAACTCTGGTTTATGCTGTGGTGTTTGCTCAAGTTCCAACATTCTTTACTAAGCAAGGGGTTACTTTGGACAGAACAATATTACCCGGCTTTGACATACCTGCTGCTTCTCTTCAATCGCTTGAGAATGTGGCCGTTGTTCTCTTCAGTCCCATCTATGACCGCCTATTTGTGCCAATGGCAAGAGGTATCACCGGCAAACGCTCAGGCATCTCCATGCTCCAAAGAATTGGGACCGGAATTTTTATATCCATAGTTACTGTAGTATTTGCTGCCGTTATTGAGACCAAGAGATTGAAAACAGCTCAAGAGTCTGGTGTTGTTGATGAACCGAATGCAACTGTTCCGATGAGTATATGGTGGTTGATTCCCCAATATATGCTGTTCGGAGTCTCTGAAGTTTTTACCATGGTTGGTCTGCAGGAATTTTTCTATGACCAGGTCCCAAATGAACTAAGAAGCATGGGTCTTGCTCTCTACTTGAGCATATTTGGTGTTGGGAACTTTATAAGCAGCTTTCTCATCTCTGTGATAGAGAAAGCGACAGGCAAAGACGGACAAGATAGTTGGTTTGCGAATAATTTGAACAAGGCACATCTTGATTACTTTTACTGGCTCCTTGCTGGACTCAGTGTCGTGGGAATGGCTCTCTTCACTTGCTCTGCCAAATCTTACATTTACAATGACAAAGGTGTTAGACGACAATAGTCATTATTGTCAGATCCCTATATGGGATGAAAAATTAAATTTTGATTTTATATGTAAATTCCGTAATTTAGAATTTGTTTGTGTATTCAAAATTGTAAATTCCAGTGAATTTAAAGTAATATATATACAATTGTACTACAAAAAAAAATTGAATAATGGAGATGAAAAATAACTAAGAACTCTTACTCAAACAATAGTCTAAATATTTTTCAGAATTACCTTTTATTAATGAAGAGCGAAAGCAAAGTTTCGATAAATGTTAAATAGCTTCAATCACATTAGCCATAATCACAAAACATATATAAGATTGTTGAAGTGTGAGCTACGGTTGCATCTCTCAAATGGTAAATGCCCAGATAGCAAAAATTGAAATCACGGAGCACCTGAGGGTTGCAATTGGAAGTATTACTTCAAATGGTAGCATGTATTCAAATTCACTCAACTATGTAGGGCTCTATAGCTATTCAGCCACAAGTTTCCTTGATTTTGTACGACCCACTTCCACTCCTACACTCAAAAACTAAATTAAAGAATTTTCACGTGACGTAAAATATTATCTTGCGTGCACAATCTTTTCACTAGATGGATTCAAACAAAGGTACAGAATACAAATACAACAAAATACTAGAAAGATATATTTTTAATCGGTAATATCGTGATTTAAGGGGAAGTAAAAAATGAAAATAAAATAATAAAAGTATTAGTAATATACTTGTAATACATCATTATAATATTTTTAATTAATTTAATTTTATTAAAAAGTATAACACTGTGAATAAATTTTATTAAATGAGAAATAATATTTATATTTTTAATAAATATCACTAAATTAAATACAATGTAACGAAATAAAATATTATTTCAATGTTTAGATATTTGGTAATAAAATGAAATAGATTTATTTTCCCATTGTTTGAAATAGAATTGGTTAACATATTAGAATTTTATATGATAATTTTAAATTTAGTTATTGTAAGAAAGTGATCTAATATGGTAAATAGGAAAGTTTGGAGGAGGTGCAGAAGGTACGCGCAAATAAAACAGGGTTCAGATATTTTAGGGTGGTTGGTATTTATTAATTCATTCTGTGATGTGATTAACAAGAGCGAAGAAGAAACGGGTGAGAAATGAAGGTGAAGAGAATAACAGAATAGGAGAGGGAAGGAAAGGAAAGGAGGATGGGAAAATCAGAGGCTGGATTAGAAGTAGTAGAAGTGGAAGAAGATGAAGAAGAAGAGAGAGATGATATTGTGGATGGTGTGGTTGACTTCAGAGGTGGAGGCGCAATCAGATCCAAATCTGGCTCCTGGAGGTCTGCTGCTTTCATCATAGGTAAGTTAAGGTAGGTAATTAATTAAGGTTGATTAAGTTGAAAGAAGGAGGAGTGTGACATGTATGTATGAAAATGGAATCAGGCGTTGAAGTGGCGGAGAGGATTGCATATTACGGGATTCAGGGGAACCTAATATCGTATCTCACGGGGCCTCTCCACCAGAGCACCGCCACCGCCGCAGAGAACGTCAATGTCTGGTCCGGAACTTCAACCTTGCTTCCTCTGCTTGGGGCTTTCCTTGCCGATTCTTTTCTCGGCCGCTACCGCACTATCATTCTCGCTTCTCTCATCTACATCTTGGTCAGTCAGTCACTCACCCATTCTTTTTTTTTTTTTTTTTTTTTGGCATTATTTTATTTCTTCTGTATATTTATTCATGAACTATTTTACTTCGGCATATTTTACCTAATTGTAAACAGTGGTATTTCTAACATACCTATGACAAGTCTCAAAAAAATTGAAAAACTAAAATATTTTTTTATATAAATTTTCAAAAGAAACTCTGCTTTATTTTTTTATTGCAATTATTTCGTAATATATTATTACTTCGTCAGAAATTTAAAAGAATGGTAAAATGTTCACAGGTTAAACGTCAAAAAAAGTTTGTTAGAAAATTAGTCACTAAACCTACTAATTTTGTACTTTGCAATCTGGTCCGTGACAACGTCTTTCCTAATAATTGATGATACTTAATCTTATTTAATGGACCACCACATGGAACTCGTGATAATAATGGATGATAAAGATATTATTTTACGTACATTCACTTGAACTAATTCAATTAATTAAGTTTTCTCTTAACTATGTCTATTTTTTTATATTATAATTTTTCTTTACAATTATTTTTTTTATAAGTAATTTAAAAATAATTATATTTAAATGAATTTAAAATATATTAAATGCATATTTTAAATAAACTAAATCCTTTAATATATTTTAAATTGAGATAAATATATTAAAAATTATAAATAATATATTTGTTATAATAAATATTGTAGAATTATAAAGCTTAAAAGCAATTAAACATATTATTAATAAATTAAATAAATCACAGTATTATTGTATTTTTAGAAAATAAATTTATAAATAAATAAAATCTACTTTGTTAGAAAATTAACATTAATCATTAATATATAATTACAACCATTCGAAATACTTAATCACTAAGCTTTACCATAAAAAATAATATTCTCTGATTAAATAAATAACTTATTTTTAATTTTTAAATTAATCACTAATATAATTAAAAAATTAGAAATATTTAATCACTAAGTTTTATCATAAAATTAATATTTTCTGATTGAATAAATAATTTTTTATTTTTTAAATACTTATCTTAGTTTAAAATATTAAAAATATATTTGTGGATTTGTTATTTAAATTACATATTTTATTTCTATCTAAATTGAATTATATTATTGTTGAAAATAAATCTTTAAATGAATTTAAATTATGTTGAAGTATATTTTCTGTTTCAAAAATTATTATGGAGAAAGAAAAGAAGAGACAGGAATGAATTTTATAAACAATATATTTAAAAAAATTACTTTTTTTTTATACTTATTTATATAATACAAAATTCAACAAGAAAAAATAAATTCGTCGTGATATAATTTTTTTTCTTTTTTTATTTTCTTTATTTATTTTTTTATTCATTTAGTGTTTGTTTTCTTCTTCTTTTTTCTTTTTTTTTTTCATTCTATCTTATTTTAATAAGGAGGTGATTTAAAAAAATATAAAGTAAAATTAAATATTTATTTCATTATAAATTTATATGTATAATTATTAATTATCTTTTTGTTCTTAAAATAATTTTATAAATTAATATCTTTAAATTAAAATTTATTTTTTTAATAATATATACTTTGATATATAATTATATTTATTTTCTAAAATTATTTAAGTTTAAATTAATAAAATAATATTATATTACTAAAAATATATAATATATGTTAAATTATTTATTTATTTTTTATAATAATCATTTATGACACTTTATTAAAATAAGATAATTAACATACATATAAATTAAAATTATAAAGGTAAGAATAATAAATGAAGAAAATTTTATAAAATAGTATTTTTTATACATTTTCCTTTTTTTCTACTTATATAAATAAAGAATAAAACATGTAAATTAACAGTGATATTTTTTTATTGCAGAATAAAAGTTGATTTAATATTGATTAATCTTTAAAATATAAAGACATTTTTTTTATTATTTTTTACAAAAATATTTTATTTTATAATTATTTACCATTTTCCACTTTTTTTAAAATAAAAGGGATTGACCATATATGTTATTATGTATTCATATAATTATCATCTTGCACATGTGTCTTGTTTTTTTACAGGAATTGTGTAGCTTGCTTATGTGTTTTATTGTCACATATTACTCATCAATTCACCTTTTTATGACAACTTAACAAGCTTATTAATGGTATTAATTAACTATTAGTTAATAAATCTAATTCAAGATTTTAATTATCATAAAAAATATCTATATTTTTTTAAAATATTTTTTTATCTTATTTGTGTTTTGAAGAATTATAAATTTTCCTTGCACTCTTTTTTTCATATCTTTTATGGAATTGAATTTGACATAACTACTATTTTTTTTTTAACATGAAGATATGTTCAAAATTAGCCAAGCCAAACACCATGTTTAATATATTTTTAGCTTTATCTTTTTTTCAATAATAATATATAACAACTTTTACATTGCTGTTACATTTTCTCCGAGGATGTAATACTATTTTTGTAAGATTAATTTCAATTAACAGATACACTTTTACAAAGTAATGATTATATATATTTCATTTATTCATTTGATTTAGAAAAATGTAATTTATTTCAAAAAGTTAAAAAAATGTTTAATAATTAAAATGTCATTTTTATAGTATGATTTTTTACTTAAACATGCCACCCTCAGAAAAATAAAACAAATGCATGAATTACTATTGCAATTAAAGTATAAACTTGTTGCGTCATTGGTCTGTAATAAGGTAGCAAATGTTTACTTTTCGTGTACAAAAACAAACATAATTGAACTTGAATTTAAAATCTGGTGCAAACAATCTAAACACGTGATCACTAGAACTATCCTAGTGGGTTGGACCATTGAAAAAGAAAAGTTATATAAAGTTAAACAAAATATAAATTGTAATGTTAGATAGTTTAGATAAGTTGATTAAGCAGAGTGCATTGTTAGAATTTTAACATGTGTTCAATTTCTATAAAATAAAATAAAAATGTTCACTTATTTCATTTTATTTTTTCTTTTGCTTGGAAGTGAAACATGCATCTGCTAAAACGAAAATAGTTCAACCCCTCTATAGAGAGATACAGTCTCATAAATAGATATTAAGAGAAGTCGACTTATTTCGCACATGGACGACTTAGTTAAAGAAAAGCTTATCCATTGATTGTCTGTTTAATTTATGTTAGATAATAAATTATAGTTTGATATGATGATTTGATTCGGACTCATTTCCATTCTGTTTCTGTTTTCCTTAGCGAGCTTGAGTAGCTAGCTAGTGAATGGAAAATTAAGTAAAATTTTGATACATGGATTTAATTTGAAACAATTAGATTTTCTGTGAACCAAAAAAGGGATAAGAAATAAAAATAGAGGAGACTTTCACTGTAAACATGTGTTCTTACATTGTTTTGATGCCAATCCATGGATTGATATGAATTACAGGGACTAGGATTGTTAACACTATCGGCTATGCTTCCTTCTGTGTCCAATTCTGAGTGTCAAGTCGACGATGAATTCAAATCATGCTCTCCTCCTCTGTTGCAAGTAGTTTTGTTTTTCATCTCTCTTTATTTGGTCGCCATTGGGCAAGGTGGACATAAGCCCTGTGTTCAGGCTTTTGGAGCAGATCAATTCGATGAACAACATCCAAAGGAGCACAGAGATAGAAGCTCATTCTTTAATTGGTGGTATTTTACGATGTGTGCTGGTTGCATGACAACTCTTTGGATCTTGAACTATATACAAGACAACCTTAGTTGGGTTCTTGGATTTGGATTTCCTTGTGTTGCCATGATTGTTGCATTGCTTGTTTTCTTGCTAGGAACAATGACCTACAGGTTTAACATTCAGCAGCGAGACAAAAGTCCCTTTCTAAGAATTGGCCGCGTATTTGTTGCTGCTATAAGAAACCGACGAACCACCCATTCAACCACAGCTGTCAAAGGAGAACGTGACGGACTACTTGCTCATCAAAGTTCGGACCAATTCGAGTAAGAATCGCAACGCAACACTAATTTATGCTTGTTTTGGAGTCTGTTGTGTTTTTTCTTTTTTTTACTCATTTCTAGTCTCATTTGAGTTTTGCTTTTACGCTTTGTGCAAATTCCTTTATTGTGTTTTGCACATTGACAGGTTCCTTAACAAAGCGTTGTTAGTGCCAAAGGACGAGGATTTCATAGAAGAGGAGAGTTGTAGCCCAAGTGAGGTAGAAGAAGCTAAAGCAGTACTGAGGCTGGTTCCCATTTGGGCTACAACTCTGGTTTATGCTGTGGTGTTTGCTCAAGTTCCAACATTCTTTACTAAGCAAGGGGTTACTTTGGACAGAACAATATTACCCGGCTTTGACATACCTGCTGCTTCTCTTCAAACGCTTATGACTTTGGCCATTGTTCTCTTCAGTCCCATCTATGACCGCCTATTTGTGCCAGTGGCAAGAAGTATCACTGGCAAACCCTCAGGCATCACAATGCTCCAAAGAATTGGGACTGGAATTTTTATATCCATTGTTACTGTAGTAACTGCAGCCGTTATTGAGACCAAGAGATTGAAAACAGCTCAAGAGTCTGGTGTTGTTGATGAACCGAATGCAACTGTTCCAATGAGTATATGGTGGTTGATTCCCCAATATATGCTGTTCGGAGTCTCTGAAGTTTTTACCATGGTTGGTCTGCAGGAATTTTTCTATGACCAGGTCCCAAATGAACTAAGAAGCATGGGTCTTGCTCTCTACTTGAGCATATTTGGTGTTGGGAACTTTATAAGCAGCTTTCTCATCTCTGTGATAGAGAAAGCGACAGGCAAAGACGGACAAGATAGTTGGTTTGCGAATAATTTGAACAAGGCACATCTTGATTACTTTTACTGGCTCCTTGCTGGACTCAGCGTCGTGGGAATGGCCCTCTTCACTTACTTTGCCAAATCTTACATTTACAACAACAAAGGTGTCACACGACAATAGTCAATTCTTCTATTATGATAAGTCCTTGTTCCATCTCTATATGGTATGAAAAATTATATTTTGATTGTATATGTAAACCTTGTAATGTAGAATTTGTTGGTATATTGGGACTTTTGAATTGAACACTCAATTTTATATGTGAACTTGTTTTTTTAAAAGTACTTTACTTTGAATTTTTAATTTTTTTTTGTTACAATTTTAATTTTTTTTGTCTAATTAAAGTGATTGACACATATCAACAGTTTTTGGTTTCTTATATCGTATGAACTGAACTAGTGAAAACAGTATCTCAATTGATTTACAATAATATGGATGTTTATATATAAAAATAAGTAATAACACCCTAATATTATTTTTAAGTCGAAGAATATATGTTTGATTATTCTCAACTTGTAGATGAAAGGTTAGAAGGTAATATAACGAGAAGAATTTTTGTAAAGAAATCATTTTATTTGATTAATGCTTCTCAACTTCTAGATAAAACACTACAAAAAAAATGTTTATTATCTATGGGTAAAATCCGTAGGTAATGCACTCACCTAAACAAAATATTTTTATTCGGTAGTGCATTACCTAGGACCCCTCCCCTTTATATTATATTTTTATTATTTATTATATTTTCGAAACTTTGAATTATTATTAGATTAAGGGAATTGTCATTGGCAAGATTCGAACCCAGTACCTCAAAGTTGAAGGCTGATACTCCAACTAATAAGCTATTAGGATATTTTGATTATAATTTACAAATAAATTATATTTATATTTATCCGTGTAAATATATAAATATAAAATATATAAATATAAAATATATTTATATTTTGATATATTTATATATTTATATATTTGTATTTATATATTTGTATTTATATATTTATATTTATATATTTATATATTTGTATATTTACATTTATATATTTATGTATTTATGTATTTATATATTTATGTATTTATATATTTATATATTATGTATTTATATATTTATATATTATGTATTTATATATTTATGTATTTATCTATTTATGTATTTATGTATTTATGTATTTATGTATTTATGTATTTATATATTTATATATTTATATATTTATGTATTTATATATTTATGTATTTATGTATTTATATATTTATATGTATTTATGTATTTATGTATTTATGTATTTATGTATTTATATATTTATATATTTACACGAATAAATATAAGTATAATTTAGTTGTAAATTATTATTAGAATATCCTAATAGTTTAGTGGTTGGAGTATCAGTTTTCAACTTTAAGGTACTGGGTTTGATTCTTGCTAGTGACAATTCTTTTAGTTTAATATAATTTACTTACGGATAGTAATTTCGTAGGTAATTAATTACCTACGGAATTACCCACGGATGACATCCGTAGGTAATGGATACCTAAACCCTAAAATATATTTATATTTATATATTTATATATTTGTATTTATATATTTGTATTTATATATTTATATTTATATATTTATATATTTATATATTTACATTTATATATTTATGTATTTATGTATTTATATATTTATGTATTTATGTATTTATGTATTTATGTATTTATATATTTATGTATTTATATATTTATATATTTATATATTTATATATTTATATATTTACACGAATAAATATAAGTATAATTTAGTTGTAAATTATTATTAGAATATCCTAATAGTTTAGTGGTTGGAGTATCAGTTTTCAACTTTAAGGTATCGGGTTTGATTCTTGCTAGTGACAATTCTTTTAGTTTAATATAATTTACCTACGGATAGTAATTTCGTAGGTAATTACCTACGGAATTACCCACGGATGACATTACCTACGGATAATATCCGTAGGTAATGGATACCTAAACCCTAAAATATATTTATATTTTGATATATTTATATATTTATATATTTGTATTTATATATTTGTATTTATATATTTATATTTATATATTTATATATTTATATATTTACATTTATATATTTATGTATTTACGTATTTATATATTTATGTATTTATGTATTTATGTATTTATATATTTATGTATTTATGTATTTATATATTTATGTATTTATATATTTATATATTTATATATTTATATATTTATATATTTACACGAATAAATATAAGTATAATTTAGTTGTAAATTATTATTAGAATATCCTAATAGTTTAGTGGTTGGAGTATCAGTTTTCAACTTTAAGGTACTGGGTTTGATTCTTGCTAGTGACAATTCTTTTAGTTTAATATAATTTACCTACGGATAGTAATTTCGTAGGTAATTACCTACGGATAGTAATTTCGTAGGTAATTACCTACGGAATTACCCACGGATGACATTACCTACGGATAATATCCGTAGGTAATGGATAATTACTCACGGATAGAATTCCGTAGGTAATATCCGTAGGTAATGTACACTTTACCTACGGATAGTAATTACGTAGGTAATTACCTACGGAATTATCCACAGATTACATTACCTACGGATAATATCCGTAGGTAATGGATAATTACCTACGAATAGAACTTCGTAGGTAATATCCGTAGGTAATGTACAATTTACCTACGGATTTTCATCCGTGAGTAATATCCGTAGGTAATGTAAAATTTACCTACAGATTTTTATCCGTAGGTAATAGGCTTTTTTTTTTGTAGTGAAATATCATAAAGTAGTAACAAAAAGAGTTTTTATAAACAAATTAGCTATTTAATACTAAGTTTTGATATAAATCAAAGTGAAAAACTGCTTTTGAGGTAACTTACTGATAAAATGACAATCAAAATTTATATGATTAGACCTTTTTATGATTGGATATGATTAGACCTTTTTATGATTGGAGGAATAAGAACTCAAGTGATAGCATATTTATTATCACAAAAAAACATAACTATATTAATAAAAACCTTAATATGTTGAACAATGGTTATAATCATATATCATTTCTTTAATTATTGTGTATAAGACATAATATTATGGTTTAATTGAAAATTTAGATACATTTTTTTACTTCACAGATTTCTATGATATTGGAGTCCCCATGAAAGACATAATATTATGATTCAATTGAAGATTTAGACACATTTTCTTACTAGACAAATTTCTAGGAAATGAGAGTCTTCATGAAAGACACAAAGTTTAATTATGAACTTTTTGAAACACCTATCCCAATATACATGCACAATATCATACATTATAGCATGTGAAAATCATTCCTTGGAGGAAAAAAAAAGTAAATTTCAGTATATCGTAATAAGTGAGGAATTGCATTTGAAAGAGTAAACAACATATGTTGCATGTAATGACTAAATTTTTGCACAACAAAGGTAATATTTTGTTGAGACAGTGAAGTACATAAGTTTTCCCATCAATTTTCTATACACTTAAGGATTAGAACTAAAATCATCATCATTTAGATCAAGTTTCAAATTTGCATTTACAAGTAAAATTACATGTATGCTATATTAAAAGCCAACATCATCAAGCAAAGATAAAGTATACATTTTTTAAAAGGAGATTTATTTATTAGAAAAATCAATTCATATTCCAGAGATCCAAAAATCTTTAATTTAAATGATGGTGGTAACTTCAATTGAAGTTGAGTAACACAATTCAAATTAGGTCCAATTAAGATGATGTCATTCACATAAATAAGTAAAATAACTAGTGAAGAAAGAAAAAATCATATATAAATAATGAATAATAATAAAACCATATTGAATTAATGTGGAAGAAAATTTATAAAAGCAATAAAGTCTGACTAAGTCCATATAAAAATAAACATTTTAAACTTCTTTTATAATGGTGAGGGAGATTAACATAATCTTCTTTAATATGCTATCTAGTTATTATAAGCACCAATATTTAGAAACAACTATAACTAATAAAACTCTAATAGATGTAACAGAAAGTATTTGAGAAGTCAATCTCATATATTATTATGTATAACTCTTTTTTCTATTAATCGTATCTTATATTTGTTTATTAAACCATCAACTTATTTTAATTTGAAAACCCATTTGAGACCTATGCAGTGCTTAGCTTCAAAAAGATAAAATAATATTTTTTTCAAGCTTTAATATATTGAGGTATAGCTTTTGTAAGAAATTGTCTAGTGGTAGATTTGAGACTCATAAGTAATAGAAATATATTTGATCAACGTCTCATGTTTAGAGTTGAGTAAAGGTGTCAAAATAGATTTAACCTAATAGGTTCACTTAAAAGATTTTTAAAATAGGTTAGATTAGACCAATAAAATTTTTATCTCGATCATTTGGGCCATGAGCTTAGGTCATATTAGCCCGTGAACTTATAGACCGACTTATTTATAAAATAATAATTATTTATTTAAATAAAAATAAAAAAATATTATTTTATTAAAAAATATATTTGTATTCGAAATTAATTTGACAATAGATTCATTATGAGAGTAAATATCAAAATAAATATCTAAAAACTCTTATTCCAATATCTAATAATTAAGATTAATTACTATTTTAAATTAATAAATTACTAAAAAATAAATAATGATAATGAAAAATAAGTTTTTAATTCTTATTTTGAGATTGAATGGATGCATGTTTTTGTAATTTATTATATATTAAATCATTATATTTTAAATTAAAACTAATTGTGTTAATAAAATTTAAATTTAAAATTATTTTTTTTATTTAAATATTTATAAATTAATTGATTTAGTATAAATATGGTAATATTTTTTTTAAATTCAATTAAGTCAAAATTGGTCTCGTTAGCCAGTTGATCTAACATAGGGTCAGATTAAGCTAAACATATTGGTCCGTTTCAAAATATAGGACAAAACAAGCCATTAAATTTTTTTTACGTGACCTGTAGGACCAAGTTAGATTTGACTGGATCATCTGTTTTGATAGCTCTAAGGCAATAATGGAGACCCAATCTTCCCAAAACTAGTATGAATTACATTCAAAAGATGTTGATATTTCTTGTCCACTATTAAATTTTGAGGTTGATACAAAATATGT